CAATCACGGGGCCCCCCGTGGGAGAAAAGATCCCCTCCCAACCCCCCCCCCCCCCAAAAATTTTTCCCCCAAATAAACCCCCCCCCCCCCCATGTAATCTGCTTAGCATCTCTCGCCTCCCAAACGTTCCCCACTCTTGGTCCTTAAGCTCAACCTGGGGAGAGAAGATGCATTTGGAAGGGAAAAAGCTAGATTTAAATCTCTCGCGATCCCCATCCCTCCCCCCCTTCAAACAAAGTTGAATTCTGCTTTAAACAAACCACTGACCCAAATAATTTTTCTATGAGACATAAAGGCGTGAGAGATCCTAATGAATTTATTTGTCAATCGTTCTTATCTTCCCTGACTAGAAAAATCCACAAAAAGAATAAAAAACAATATTGTCATTGTTAAGGAGAAAACCTCAAATCAGCTCGTTTTATTTTATTTTAGAATTTTTGATTTTTTAAGGAAGAAATTGAATGGGAATGTATGTTTTGCCTCCTGATCACTTATTCGATTTTCAGGCTGAAACGTCCGCATCTTCTTGCCCAAATTTTCTGCCGAACAAACCTTTTGCATAAAATGAAATCCTGGTGTCTGCTAAGGATGAAGAGTTGGAAAACCATCTCGGCTTTTTTTCCTGTTTAAAATGGTTAGGATCGGGGGTGGGGGCAGTTTCCTTGAAAAGAGATGTTTAGTTGGCACGCAAAACGTATAATGTTAAATTAACAAGATAAAGATAAGGTTCGTGAGCCTTTTTTTTTTGGGGGAGGGGGGCGGTTCAAAGCAGACGTTGCAGTGAAAAAAAAATCCAAACGTGTCATTCTCAGAGCTCTGATCGATTGATGAGCTTTACAAGAAAAGCGGATTGGTCTCCGGCTCTCCAAACCCGCTCCCATTTTAGCAGCCCTTTTTGTTATCTGGTGAACATCTTCCATCACGAGCTTCTATAATCTCCCAATTTCCTTACCAAATTTCGTGAACGAATAAGTCCTCCCTTCTTCTTTTTAATCAACACAGCAGAGCGACCTCTTGACCTCATATAACCCCTTCCTCCACAGATTTAATCCGGAGTGAAACTTGTTTATCCGTGCCCATTTGCAATGTCGCGTGGAGTGGGGGGTGGGGCACAAAGCCTGTCGAGGCTTCAGTAGAATTTGTGTCTTTCCAAGTAATGAGTTCGAATTCGTACCCATGGTCTGATCCATAAACAAATTAAGCCGAAGCTCCTGGATTTTAAGATCGGATTGTTTAGGGGCAAATTCTGCTGAAAGCACCTGGGGTTTGCTTCTGGTTCCAAAGAGGGGTCGTCTAGGATGTTGTTGACATTGGAAAAAGAGTTTTAAAGTTATTTTGGACACTCCAAAAATTGATTTGGGAGATGTTTGTTTTCTGAGTTCTAATGAGATTGGATCCCGAGCAAGAACAGTACAGTT